CTATTTGTTAGTATTAAATTGACTATGCCCTTAAAAAAACATTGCTCAATGTAACCTGTTGAGGTCACATCTTGTGGTATTTTTTCATATTTTCAAGTTTCAGCGAATAAGTCTACTTTTCTCAAAGTACAAAGATTTTAACAGTTGAATAAATACAGTGCAAACATTATTTAATGGCTTATGTAATGTAGCTCTCTCATCACTTATTGCATTTTAAATTTATCTCAATTTCTTGTCATCAAATCACGTCCCACAGTATCTTTAGATACATCATTGGTAAGATTTTACACTCATAATCTGCCTTCATAGTATACCTGAAAGTAGGTAGCTACTTTACACTGCTTTCTTGAGTGTGATGGATATGAAGTGTAAGAACTCAATCTCAACTCAGAAATAAAACGATGATTACTTTGATATTCTTCGATATAATTATCACAATTAAAATATGAACGTTCTGTTCAACGGTTCAAATTCAAGTGTCGTCCAAAATCATAACACTACTTAAGAGATTTATTCCATATATTTATTTAAAATTCTCTATAAATTACATTTTTAAATACTACTTACAAAATAAAAAAAATAATATTTAAAAATATAAAAAATAGGAGCCGACCAGTAGTGGGAGCATGGTCCAAGCTACCGGTGGTTAGGGCTCCAGAGACAAACCTCCTCACGATACGTGCCGTTTCTAGGAGAACTGCCTTCTGTATCAGGCCCTTGATCCATCCACCTAACGCCAGCCTCCTAAGATGGATGTCGAGGCTTTTAGGGATTAACCCATTGGCCGACACGACTATCAGCACAATGATAGGCGAATCCACACTCCACATGTCGACAACCTCGTGAGCTTAGTCTAGATATTTTATTTGTTTATCTTTCTCAGCTTTCATGAGGTTCTCGTCATGGGGAATGGTGACATCAATTATAATCGTGCGGCGTACTTGTCGGTCTATCACCACTATGTCAGGTTTATTGGCTACAATAGTCCTGTCAGTAATGATAGACCGGTCCTAGTACAATGTGATATGGTCATTTTCCAGAACTGGGTCGGGCACATACTTGTACGGTATTACGGTACCTCAGGCTCAACAAGTCGATAGTGTAAAGCAAGTTGCTGATGGATAATCTTGGCTACTTGATTATGCCTATGCAAATATTCACTGTTAGCCAAACGACCACAACCAGAAATAATATGTCTAATGGATTCACCAGAACTATGACATGCCCGACATATTATTATGTCAATCGTCCCATCCTTAATTATATATTTCCGGTAGTTATTCGTAAGGATAACTTCGTCCATAATTGCACAGACAAATCCTTCAGTTTCTCCAAAGAGATTACTGAATCGTAGCCAAGACACGGACGCTAGAAAATCTACACTGGGCCCATAAAGGGCCCGGAAGAAGCGTCCGTGGAGCTCCTTGCTATGTCATACCTCCTTGCGATCATTGACGCTCAGTACCACAGGTTTGCGCCAGTTCTCTTTTGCCAAGGATAGCGGAGTGAATCCATTGTCCACCGCTGCTACTTCTCGATGCATACCCTGGTTGACTTTCAGGAAATATTCCCTGAGGCTGCACACCTCACGATTGTGAAGGGTCTTAGCATTTTAATATAGATATTTATTATTGTTAACTACTACAATAATGAATCTCTATATTGATTTAGTTACATGAACTGTTATTTATACATTTTTATATACAATCACAGATAACTATATTTTAAATTGAAATTCTCATCTCGCATGATCCACTATGATAGGCAATCATTTGTGCGATATCTGTACTCGATATCATTCGTTTCTGCACCGATTGCTCATAGTCTATGCTGATAGTAGAACTATCTCAATACACTCGTCTTGCACGATCTGCTATGGTCTAAGGGGGGAAAATCATCGAAATGACTGCTCCCGCCTGGGTGAGGCGGGAAGGAGTGTCAGAATCATATTGACTAAAAACCACCCCGTTCCTTCTTCTGCACGTCGAGCCGCAGCCCCTTACCCGTTAGGTTCTCCGCGACTCCGAATCGGCATCGGCCCTGTTAGGCTCCATCTGTGGTGGTCTGACGGCTCTTTGAGCTGCTATGGTCTACAATCATTTGTACGATACCAATTACGTGATACCATTCATTTCTGTACCGACTGTTCATACCTGTGCTCATAATAAATCTATCTTAACTTAAACACATCTTGCACGGTCTGCTATGGTTTACAATCATCTGGCACGATACCAATTACTTGGTAACATTCGTTTCTGTACTGATTGTTCTATAGCCTGTGCTCACAATCATTATTTCAATCAATATTCATAATCCTTACGAAACTGTAACACGGTTTCATTCATTAATTATTAGCACTAACCATTTCATCTCAATCTGAATAAATTCCATATCGATAATCAAGTTCATTATAATAGAGGTACCTACATAATTATGCGTAACATCGTTAATCAGCTCAATAATTCATACTTCATTTATTTAATACCATTACATTCTTATTATAAGAACAACGTAATAAGTAGTTAAACTACTATTAAGGAATATTATAGAATTCATTAACTAATTATCATTACCTAAATAAATCTCATTATTCCATTAGTCATTGTCATTTTCACTATCATTGTTATTATTCTCATCGCCATCGTCCCTGGAGTAATTATTATAATTTAACCAGAGATGAATCTTATCACTTGCTATGATGTTTTCGTATCATTTGTTTCCTTTCCTAGTCAGTGGGGTGTCCTCGACTACGAACCTATCATTGGGTAAAATTTTGACGATTCGGTACGGGCCCTGAAGTTTTGGCATAAGCTTTTTAAATTTACCCTGATGCTCTTTATCAATGACCGCCCTTTCAATTCTAACTAGATCTCCTACACTATACGATTTTGGTTTCTCTCTATTTTTGTCAAATCTGACCTTCGCTATTTCCTAAGCCTTTTCAATGTTCTCTTTGGCATCGGATCTCAATTGTATTAGGTCGTCGCCACTATCTAACTGAGTCGTTTCAGAAATCGCGTCTCCCAATATGTTTTCTGGTGTCGAAATTAATTCAAATCCGAATAAGAATAAATCCTCAGAATTACTGAGGGAGCTTTTCCTGCCGCTTTACTGACAGTGGTATTCATTCCTAATTGAATGTCTCCTACATAATCGTCCCATGTATTTTCATTGTTGCCATAGCATTTAGTACTCAACGCATCGCATATGATACGATTATACCTCTCGACCTGCCCATTTGCTCTAGGTACCGCGTTCAATATATGTTTTATGTTTAGTTTGTCTGTAAACTCCTTGAACTTCCCACTAGTAAAACATGAACCTCGATCTGTAATTAGTCTAGACTAGACGGAGTACCAAAATAACTAAAATACTCATGAAATACTTTGATTGCAGTTGAGGTTTTCGTATCTCTTACTGCACGTATATTAACAAATTTCGTGAATGCATCTACGATCACTAAAATATACATGTTTCCCCTTCTAGAACGAATAAACGGGCCAGATGATCCGCATGCAATGTATGAAGCGGGATTTCTATCTTTGGGATAGGGTGTAATAACCTTTCCTTTTTGGCCTGCTGGTACTTTGTGGTATGCACATTGTAGGCAAGATGATACATATTTCTTTGTAAATCAATAATAAAATGTGAGAGTGACCTCAAGTGGTTACATTGAGCAATGTTACATTGAGCAACAAATAGATTTCGTTTAAGGCTTGATGCAGCTCTGATTTGTCTTTTCTGTCCATCCATGGAGCAGAAAACTCGTAGCTGGGTGGTGACTGCGAAGAGTAATCCTCTGGCATATTCATATACAGAATGACTTCATATTTCTTTTCATATATTTTTATGCTATACGACCTCGTTTTGTCGCTTTCTTTAATTTTATTAAGGACCATACACTTACAACTTTTACAAAAAAAAACAATAATTCATTCTATAATTTATAGGCGCAATATTTTTATTAATGCTTATTATTTTTATTTTTTATAGCATTATTTTATGTTCTTCGATATAATATTTTTTTAAGTCAGGGCAGTCATGACAACAATAATTGAATTACTGCTTATTAGAAAATACCATGCTTGAACAATAGAGGACTGAGTGCTTCGCTACCGTGGGAAATGAGACCAAACATGTAAGCGACCAATCAGCGCTCGACTTTAGGTTTGATAATTCCACGAAAATTTTAACTGAAGGGCGAGCGATAAGACAACCGTGGTATTTTTCGTTTAATATGTATGGAATGCACTATTACTAATATTATTATTTACCTTTGAAACCTATTTTTAGAAATAGCCATGTATTTACTATTCATAAAAGAATTCTTTGTTGTAAGGGATAATGTAAAATTGATCAGGTGCACACAAAGATAATAATCAATAACGTGAGTTTTATTCGCAGGGATTCCTATTTCATATATCCGAATATTGACAATACAATATATATTATCAAATAAGTGTTCAACATATTATTTGCATTAAACTTTGCGTCAAATAAGGTTGATTACACGAAACAAGGCTTAGACACTACAATTGGTAGGTATAACAATCATAATTATGTGTGGTAATTAAATTATGTCAACGCCAAGAGAAGGATCAAGGATTATGTAAAGAATATTGTCTTGTCAACGTTGTTCTAAATTATATACGTATTAAAAAAATATATTTTAATACCGCTTAATAAAATACACATTTTAAAATAGTTTTATGGTTCCCACGGTATGCGAAAGCAAAGTTATCCACGTGTACTTTCTTTGTCAACGTAGGTATATAAAGACAGATCCTACTGGGGAGTAGTTAGTCTTTGACACGTCGTCAATACGAACAGTCGTCTGTCGGTGGTCAGCTACTGTTACCAAGTCGGTCGAAGTGACGAGGCGCGAGTGCGACTGCGATTGTAAATCGTTTTTATTTTAGTTTTTCAGAGTGAAAACTATAATTTTAAAAGAAAGTGCTAGTTATAATTTTACAAATAATTGAAATAAAAAAAGTCCCACAATGGAGACCAACAATTTAAATAAACAAGTAAGTATATAAAAAAAATGAAAGAAAATTCCTGTCATCGCATTGCGATTGTGTTATTTATTTACTATTTTCTCTTTAGAATGAGGAGATTGAAGCATTAAGTGCTATATACGGCGACGATTGGACCATGGAGAGCGACAAAACGAGGTCGTATAGCATAACAATATATGAAAAGAAATATGAAGTTGTTCTGTATGTGACTATGCCAGAGGATTACCCTTCGCAGTCACCACCCAGCTACGAATTTTCTGCTCCATGGATGGACAGAAAAGACAAATCAGAGCTGCATCAAGCCTTAGACGAAATCTATTTGTAAGTATTAACTCGTCGAGTACCGGTTTTGCAGACACAATTATAGAACAATAGGTTGCGGTCACCGGTGACCGCTTGGTGTTTGACAGTTTAAATTGACTATGCCTTTGAAAAAACATTGCTCAATGTAACCTGTTGAGGTCACATCTTGTAGTATTTTTTCATATTTTCAAGTTTCAGCGAATAAATCTACATTTATCAAAGTTTATAGATTTTAACAGTTGAATTAATTCAGTGCCAACATTATTTAATTGCTTATGCAGTAACTCTGTTATTATTAATAATCATACTTTATATCTATCTATTTCAGAGAGAACATAGGAAAATCTGTTGTGTATCAATGGGTGGAGAAAATAAGAGAAGTACTACAGACTATAAAGCCAAAAAAGAGACAAAAAGTAAACAAAACAACTAAATCCAAATCACCTCCCACAGTATCTTCAGATACATCATTGGTAAGATTTTACACTCATAACCTGCCTTCATAGTATACCTGAAAGTAGGTAGCTACTTTAGACCGAGAGTGCTGGACTTGGACCTCCCGTACGAAATAGAGTTTGCCATCTCTACATCTGGGAGGATTTCCTAAGAAAGCTCTTACAGTACTTGGCAGAACTTTCTGCCATCACCTCCTCTGCTTATTTACATGACCATGAATTGAATGTATTGGACTAAGGATCATTTCAATGTCTTGTAGTTAGAAGGCTCTTGTTATAAACCTAACTGTCTATGTGTAAATTGCAGGTACATAGTGACTGTCCAGAGATAACTCATGGTGAGGTTATCGTGGATAGGAAGAGTATATTCCAAGGTCATGCGGCAGAAGTCCACTCGATTGATGATGTAAAGTAAGTAAATATGTTCCTACCTACTGCAATTCTATGTATATAGTTGAATATTTATCTTCTGATTTTGAGAATCTTATACTACCATATAGAGCTGAAGAGTTTGTTTGTTTG